CTTTATTACTACTCATTATAATGAATTTTCAATATTTTAAATAAAACGTAATACAAACACAAAGTAATACTTACTGCAAATACCCAATCTATGAGTTGCTTTTTTTAGATCCTCTTCCTGATTTCACCAATTCATTACCATTTTCTCAGATGGAGGTGGCCCGAAATGCCTCTCTGCAGCCTTGTTTCCGTGTTCTTCAGCATACGCAATCAGAGCCGGATTTTAGATTTGACGAGATGCTGAGCCATTTGAGATACGGTGCCCTTTATAAGGGATGTAAGTCATTTTTTTATATGGGCTATGGTACAATTTTTGGTGATGGCCCCAAGAAAGTGGGGTCCCTAAGCAACAGCTTATGCAACCTTATACATAAATCCAGCACTGTATGCAATCACGCGTAGCTTGTATGCTATGTTATAGCAATGCCGACGTTGTTTTTAAGCCATAACTTTCCAAAAAATTTAAGAAAACTGAAGAGTATAAATTTCACACACTTAAAAGTCGCTCACAAAAACTGGAAAGTTTAAACGAACCCAGCTGTGATCGTCCATAATAGCGCATGCGCATTCACTAAACTGTAATATTCTTACACTCCGCAAGGAAAGAAGAACAAATCGCATAACTCCGGATAGAGGAAATTTCCAGAAATGAATGTAATCAAAAACTGAGTATCGACGTATAAGACGCACCCGTTTTTCAGACCTATTTTCAATAAAAAAGTGCGTCTTATACGCGGGCAAATACGGTATACAGACAAACGTTCGTGTTCAACCATCTGTAAAATGACCATAAAAATTCAGATAAAGTAAAAGCATGTGTTTTATATAAGAATCATTCGTATACAATTATACATGTTTTCCCAGATTTACAAAAGTACAGCTTCTCTGTAAAACTATTCGCTATTTGAAATGGTGTAAAATAAAACATTATTGCCAATAATTTCTATTCAAAAAGGTTTTAAGTTTTCTCAAGCTTTAGGAAAATCTCTCAGATTGTGCAAAACATTTCTTTAAAAGCTAAAACAACAATAAAGGATATAATTATATATTATTAGCATATATCCAACATATTTCAGATTTTCCAAGCTGAAAAATTTTGATGTGGACAACACATAACTTCCTTGTATGGCCTATTAAATTATATGCGTTTTTGGCTGTGCTTCATTTAAACTTATTTTCTCGAATTTCATTAGAAATATATTTTTCATTCAACCAATTCAGTTCTCCTTTCGCGACAACACATAAATACTTTAAAACTCGAAACATCTTCATAAAAAATTATAAAATACAGAAAAACCAAAAACGTTAAAAAAACTTTTTTTTGTTATCAAAATTACAGTTTCTACGTAAACACAAGCAATTCCGCCAACGAAAGAAAATTAAAACTTTTACTTTTCACTTTCTTTCATTAAAGCAAACTCAAAGCATTTAATTAAAGTTTTTGGTTAAAGTGGAGTTTTGTAAAGAGATGGAATATCCTCCATACTAATAATACACCACATCGAACGATATAAACACTGTAAGTTAGAAATAGGTTGATCTTTACATTATGGTAACTTGGCGTTTTTTTGGCGAAAATTTGGCGACCAACTCTCCTACAGCAACACTATTTTTTTTTTCCCGCCGCCATTTTGTCTTCACGAAGTAAAGACATGTTTCCTTTCTTTTTATCTACTGAACACTTCTTCCAACAATCTACTAGCCGAACTACACTTATGCTAGAAATTTTATCCAACAAAACTGCTTAATCATGACAAATATTCACTGCAAAATTGGGAAAAGTGCACAATACCATACTCCTTACGCGTTTTTCAAAATAACACATACACATAAAAAAAAAAAAAACATCCCAGAATTGCACAAAAATGGCATTGCGCACACTCTTCACTATATCCATGTACACTGCTTTTTTCTCATAAATTAGAAAAATTTCACGAAAATACATGACAATTTTCTCAATCTTTAAACTCGGTAAAAAGAACATATATGAAATTACCTGATCGCGAAAAAGTATTTACCCTTTCCAAATATGAACATTTCCACATATAAAATAAATAAAATATCCAAAAACTTTTACCTCTAAATCATCTATTACGTTATACACGTCACCAACGAATTCATACCATACCGCAAGCATTACAAATACTTAGTATCAAATATTTAAATTATTCCATGCACGTTTACTTCAACTTAAACGTATACCAAATTCCTACAAACATAAAATTCACAAAATAACTATCATTTAATTAAAATATCACACTAAAACCATGTACACGCCGACTAATTTTTACTTAAAAAACATCCCAGAATTTCACAAAAAATGGCATTGCGCACACTCTTCACTATATCCATGTACACTGCTTTTTTCTCATAAATTAGAAAAATTTCACGAAAATACATGACAATTTTCTCAATCTTTAAACCCGGTAAAAGAACATATATGTCAGATATTATATTATTTCCATGCACGTTTACTTCAACTAAAACGTATACCAAATTCCTACAAACATAAAATTCACAAAATAACTATCATTTAATTAAAATATAATTAAATTTAAAAACACTACTTAAAATATAAATGAGCACATACACTAAATTAATACATACATAAATACCCATTTCGAATTCACTTTAGTTACGGCCATGGGATCCAAAAATTCACGAACACTGTTTCACACAACGCAGAATAAAGCCAAATACAAAATTTCTAGATTTTTTCCCGATTTCCCCCCCTCCTTTTCCGATTAAAGAACCGTAATTCGTCCATTAATATCACATGACATATCCCATGATCTCTCATTTCCCTCACACAAAATAATTCGTAAACGGAACTGAGTACTGCTCACATTATTACCAAAGTGCCAGGTAGTAACCTTTATCGCCTCCAAAATGTCGCCAAACTACCAATTACCATATTGTAAAGATCAACCTAGAAATAATGCTTTCCCATGCTGTATATCTTAGCGAATGATTTTAACCATCTTAGCTTGACCTTTAATACTACGAAAATTAAGTAGCAAGCACAATTTTCCAAATATTTCGAAACGGGTAGCTTTAAAATTAACCGAAAATTTTGAAGTTACTTAGAATTTGAATGAGAAATTTAATTCGCCTAGGAATTTCATGTAAAAACTGCAAAAGATGTTAATTTACGAGTTGCAGAATTCATTATGTTCGCAAACTGAAACATGATTCCCTTTTTATTACAAGTCTAATGTTCGTGTATAACTGTAAATGATTGTTTTTAGATTAACATATTTCAACAAAAATAACTTCGCACTTTCTTTTAGTAAATACACTTAGCTGAAGGGCTACCACCGCACTTGAGACTAATACTAAGCACGCGGCAGATGTCTACAAGTCTGTTCAAAGGTGGCATGTAATATCATATTCTGAGAATAGTTCTCAGGAACTGATATCATCGCCAGAAGACAAGAATAAAAGAACAATAGTAGGGCGGTCAAAAAGCAGATAAAAACTGTGAGTTAATTTTAAGTGAATAGCTTCGTGGCCAAACAACTGTCAATAGTTTGGCTATGGAACTCAGCTGCCTCTGGAATAAATATGTGAACGAAAATTTTGTCTAGATATTGACAAAGAACTGGCTTTATGTTGATTGGTAAGGAATTTGTATCCACCTGTCCCCTTTCCCTAGGTGCGTCTTTTTATGTATATTTGTGACTTTGTGATTATCATCTTTAAAAAAAGTAACACTGGATCTCTATTCTCTGATGCTTAGTAATATACAAATTGACTTGGAAATTTTTGTAACTGGAAGGTTGGCATGATGCTTTGTTATATAATTAACGTATCTGAAGCGGATGATAGATGAATCGACTACTGCGGGGGCAGTACTCTGGAATATTTTTATGGGGTGTTATCATATTGGTCGTCTGTATGCCGCAATTGAACTTTGAATGGGGTATTGCAGCTACGCAGCTTGTAATGATTACACTTTTGCACGTAATAAGAAGCATTTGTATACTAGCGATAGGCCGTAGTTGATATTCAGGGACATAAAGCTATACAATATAGAGTTGAGACTTCTTTGAAAAGAAGGATATTCTGTGATGGATTGGCCAGCTAGCTTATTAATAAATGTATATATTAGCGAATGATTTAACTTACCGCCTAAAGCACGGGAGTCTCCAGAAGGAGTTGCTGAAGGACATCACTCGGTTTGCAGAACTTCCCAGTAGTTTAAAACCCAGCTTTCGTATAACACTGGCCTTTCTAGCCACAAATGCTTTTTAGAAACCCTCTAACGGGTGTACAAGCACGTTGCCAGATACACGTTTCTTCAGAATAAAGCTATTTCTTTTCAGCCATCCTTTTTTTTTTTTTTTTTTTTTTTTTTTTTTTTTTTTTTTTTTTTACATTTTTCACGTGCTGTGTTTTAGATATTTTTCTCCAAATTTGAATATTGCATGGAGATGTTCTGTTGTTTTTATTTTACATGGCCATGTTAATCTCTAACAAGAATTATATTTGTATTAAATTTCATTCAAATTAAAATAATATATATTATGCGACCCAGTTTATATTTGTTAAATTCTGAGCAAAAGTGTAGTTAATATTTACAAAAGCCATGTCATAGTGGATTTTAATATTGCTGTTTCTAAATGAACATTTCTTGAACCAATAACATATTATTTAGTTTTTGGAACTCTCTAATTCTTTATTGAATAAACAATTGGTTTTAATGAATAGTTTCTGAAACGAAAGAGATATTCGATATAAATGAAATTTATAATCTGTGCCACTTGTCTGTACAAACCATTATGTATTATTTAAATTAAGAAATCAAATCATTCTCAACCATTTATTTGTGCTATGCTTTTTCTCCATGTGTGTTCTATCAGCTTATGCTTTTCCTCTACCTTCCTGTTTCCTCATATGCGGCTTTCGCAGCACAAGCACTCGGACTTGCACGCACTCTGCACTCTCTCTTCTTTAGCTGTGCAGAGAGAGAAAGCTCAGCTTTTCGGGTTTTTCCCCTAGGATCTCTGCCTCAGCTTCGCCTCGTGCCCAAAGGTAGCGGCGGATGGGGAGTTAAGGGGTTGCCGCCAGTTGGACGAATATCGCCAATGGAAGGTATGTCACCATGAAAGCATTCATGGACTTTCACATTTGATTTTGATGGTGTGCATGCAGGTTCATTACATTTCTTAAAATCAAAAATATAAGCAACTTAGTTTTAAGCTAAAATTTACAAAAAGTAGTAAAGCAATACAATATGTATAACCTAAGGAAGAACATACTTCAAAGTTATTCACTTAATATTAATTAAATAGATTCTTTGAATTCCTACTTGTATTGGAAAGTAGCTGTATTATTAGAAAGAAGAAATAACACTTGTAAATAACATTTTTGAATTTTTTTCTGAAATTCATAATTTCAAATTATTTTTAGGGATTCTTCGATATGAGTATAATACATAAATGTTCATAGAAGTAGGTCATTTAATAAATATTAAATAATTATTAGATCATACAGTTAAAGTTTGCATAGATTAGATGCTTGCATAGAGTAATGTAACTAAAACAAAGAGCTTTACCTGAACTAAATTTTTAATTACTTAATGTGGATTGAGTCTTCATCAAATTTCGATTCTAAAATTATTGATTTATGTCTTCTACTGGAGATATCAAACATCCAACGAATAGGTCAATATTATGCAGTAAAATCCGTAATATCTGCATTGTGCCAACCAGCTACCTACTGTCCATAATTAGACTTTTTTAATACTGTGCAGTCCTAATGTTTATTAACTTTGTAAGGCAATTTGATTATTGATGAAAGAAATTCTATAATACTATATGCAAAGCGTGACGAAACAGCTTTCAAATTGTCTTCAAAAACGGTAGAAGATGTAAAATACTTGACTATGGTATGGTGCAAGATGAATGTGTAGTGTAAAGATTCAGAAAGGCCGACGACAGCATCTATATTCGAGAACTGCGACTGCAAAACAGCTGCAAGAATATATCATTACCTATAATTAATGCAGAGTAAAGGTCATATAACAGATGCCGTACAGCAAATGTCCTACATATGCGGGATCACTTTTTATTCTTACTTTCATCTCTAGAAGTCTAACTGATTCGCTGCAAGCTTTCAGTAAAACAGACAAAACGTCCGATTAACAGACATCCCAGTTATCTCTTGAAGACTGGAAAAATGTATTGCTATAATAGTCGAAGCTTTTTTAGGGAGAGAGGCATCAAAATAATAATAGTGTGTGATGTCAGCTACGTGAAGCAGTGAATGTTGCGAAAAAGATGAGTGTTGTCTTGTCCATGAGTGGCGTTTGTTTGGTTTGGGAGATGAGATTTTCCTGGATTTGGGCTGTTTAGGATTTTAATTTCTGGTCTTTTGATCGGTGTCTTCTATAGGCTTTGGCAGATTATGTATATTTTACACAATTTTTATTCTTACTAGTGAAGAAAGAAATTTTCAAGACTTTAAGCTCCAGAGTGCTGGTCCTAGTACTACTGAGCATTTTTGGATAGTACATCGCCTTTTGCTAACTGGGGGCTGCCTCTTATGTCCTTGCTGAGTAGACATAAAAACAGTTTAGGCTATTGATAAAGCGGAATATATAGATTTGCCAGATATTAAATATGTGTTCCATGTTCAGTGAACATTTGGTATAAATTCGACAGCAGAATTTATCCACAACTCCAGTGTTGAGTCAGAAGGAGCATGTAGTTGCTGAGTTCTGAAGATTTCTGATTTAACAAGCTATGAGACTAAAGCGTTATGAGATTTCTGACTTAATGAGTTATAAAAACTGCCTTTGCTAAGCTGGAACATAGTACCTTCAGATTACCCCACTGTCTGTTATCATACTGAGCCCATGTGTCATGCACAAGAGCACGTAATGAATAACTTCATTCTTTATTGATTTACTAAAGTTGCAAATTATGCAGAATTAAAGTATACTATAATAAATGTGATATAAATATTTTTATTCATTATTATTAATTTTGTAAAAATAGTAGAAATATTTCTTGTGACTTAAATATACATTTTTATTGGAATATACCTTATTTAACACCGAAGTTGTCCTAATTAGTGAAATTGAATCAAATTTCTGAGCTACATAGTTATCAAATAACATAGTTCTATTAAAATTTCATGTCAAAAATTTAATTATTCTACTCTGAAGACAAATAGCACGAGATTTGCGACTAGCTGGTTTGCTGTGGTAATTTAGTTCAAAAATCAAGAATCCTTTTTAGGGCAATTTTGGATAGCGAACACGTGTATAGTCCAAACTTAGAGTGAATTTGAAAGTACGTCAAAATAAAGCACTAAATCATTCTTCATTAATTGAAACTATACAACAGACAAAATTTACTATACACATTTTTTACTAAATTTCACACTATATTTCTATTAAATGATTTCCACAGCCATTTGAAATGTACTTAAATTGGAGTGTCCACATCAAATAATAATCCGACTCTAATACATTTCACAACTGATAGAACTTAATTAAAATTAAATATAACTTTTCATGTGCTCTAGAATAATGAGAAAATAGGCATGTGAAGGGGAGGAAGCGAAGTGTAAATTTTAGATAACTAACATAACTCTTTTCATTGTCAGTTTTATTAAATATTAAATTTTTTCTCATTTTTCGTCCATTTTAAAACTATGCATCTTGTTGTTAACATAACTGAAATATGTACATATACTAAGAACTGTTCGCACATTTTTAGTCGATTCATTTTATTTACAGAAATATTTTACCTAAAATTTTTGCGTTTTAAATTTTCCATTTGATAATCCTAATTTGTCACTGTCTTTCTCAACCATAATTTCCAAGATAATAAACCTTTGTTTAGTAGCGGAGGAGGTATTTTATCCTATTATCCCATTCCTCTTCAACAGTTTTCTAAAATTCAAAGAGGGTTGTAGATCGACGTTTGAACAATCCGCTCTTTAAAAGTCCAAAAGCGCAAAAATTTGTGATTGATACATCAGGAGGGTATCGTAAGAATATGAGTGAAGTGTACGGCCTTGATACACGTTCCTTGTTCCATTTTTCCAGAAAATTAACAATTTTGACGTGTGGCTGCATGCTTTGTCTTGATGCATTTCTACTGATTGCTGGCACTGTGGGTAGAAAGAAGGTAGTTCTTTGAAAACTGGGTAAAACAAATGTTCCTGATAATATGATAATATGAGCTGACCTTAACAGTTTTCTGCAATCTCTTTAATTTTTATTTCCAATTATATTTAAAAACCAGCAACAATTATAAATCCCTTTGAAAAACTCTCATTAGATTCTCTGAACCATGTTCAAATATATTTTTCTTCTCTTTAATGATAATAATGGATCTCTTTTATTGAAGTCTTTTAAATATACCCAAGATTTATCTATCGTGACAACATTTTTCCATTTCTGTCGGAATAAATGTTTCTCGTGTAGAATTCTGCAGCAAGTTCTGCTTTCGGCGATATGTGGTGGAGAATGACGGTGCAGATTACTTTTTTTTTTTTTTTTTTTGCCTTTTTAAGATTCAACTCAGTATTAATCACTTTGTTTATAGTTGGCATTGAGCATTTTACGATTATGCAACTGTCCTTTGACTTCGAAGCTTTAACATTAAAGTTCTTATCTTTCCAACATTCGAAACATTCTTGTTTTTTCCTTGCATATGTATTTTGAACAATTTTTCTCCTTGAAGCCAAATTTGACGTTTTCTCCCTTTCTTATTGACAATATTACCTGCCGTTGCTTTAGATACCGAAAAAATCATGGCTTTCACAGCATTTGTTAATAACTAAATACGAATAATTTTCTTCGGAAAGAGTACAAACTAAGCCTTCTGTCCATTGCTTCTTTAAAAGCCCATTTTGTATGAAAATAAAATTGTCAAATAGCGGATGATAATTAGTAAAATTTCAAAAACATAGTTGCAATTAAAAACAGTTTTGAAGCACTTTTTTATAGCAAAGAAACGTCGTCTAAAATTGTGCGAACAGCCTTTGTAAAACAGGTTTGTTTTTAAAACAAAACAAAAAAAAATTAAATTCAAAACCAATCTTCGTCAAAATTATTCAAACAGGATTTATTGACGTTCTGCTTCTTAATTTTTACTTCCCTGCTACTTCTTGCGAAATGGATTAAATTAGTTACCTTCAGTTATTGTTGCCATGTACTCGCCATCACATTTATGAGATCGCAGTTTAATATAGTGATGATATAATTTTATCACTTCTTGTGTATTTCTACTCAAATTTCTGTTCGCTTTTTCTTCGTATTTTTTACAAAATAATTTTATTAGCTTACAGATTTTCATGCCTAGACTCAAACGTAGAAATAATACCTTTATGGACTTTGAGATAAGTTGCAAAGGAAGGATTTTACTTGGACATGCCACATGATAAAAACTAACTATACTGAATTATTGTTTGGTTTATTGAGATTACGGCAAAGCACACTAGGGCTATCTGCCTAAGGGGAGGGATGCCTTCGTGGAGGACTTTCTAAGGGAAACTGGCTCGTACAAACGTTACACATGGGGAAAACTACGAAAACGCCCATGCAGCTAGCCCGTTCGCGGAATTCGAACCTCGGACCGAACTACCAGTGTTCAGCTACTTTACTGCTCGGCCACTGGTAGGCCCTACAGAAATTATTTAATACAAAATAGAAAAATTCAAAAGCGTATAATAAATTAACTTCTAATTATTTGATTTTTTTGTATGATTAGTTGCCACTTAAGTTAATATATTCTAAATGGGATTGTAATCCTAGATATTTTTAATTTCGTAAATTGCTATGACACAGAAATTTTCAAAATCGAAGAAATTTTCAATTCACCAAAAATGACTCTCTTATATAAAAAAAATTATGAAAATATATATACGTATATGCTTACCCTCATTTATGTATTTTATGTTCAAAAATAATTTAATCTAATTCTTGTGTTTTTTTTAAATTTATGCATGAATTATCAATTCCAGATACTAAGGATACTAAAGGAATACTAAACTAAAGGAATGAATTTAATGCATAGCATAAAGCAATAAATTGATTTTTTTTTATTATCTAATCTGTATTTTGTTAAATGAGTCAT